TACACATAGCCAGATATAACTACACATACACGTTACCATACACTTGAAAGACAAAGCAAATGCAACTCACAAGACACACACATAGCCAGATACAACCACACATACACCTTACCTTACACTTGAATGACAAAGCAAATGTAACCCACACGACACACACACATAGCCAGATATAACCACACATACTCCTTGCCCTCAAATTCATCGCCTTCTGCGTCGCGCTCCTTCTGCACTTTTCGTTCCACAAAACGTTCGTACTCCAACTTGCGCTCGTTGGACTTCTCGAGCAAAGCGTTGATGTATTTGGGCTGTGACATATGGAAAATATTTAAAACGCGTCGCAAAATAGATAAAAGTCGCAAACCCAAGGCTTGAACATACGGCAATTGAGCTTCACTCACAGATAAAGCCAATGTCGCATATCGGATGCACAACATTGCATTCAACAAACTCACCGGATTGGTGACTGATGTATTTGGGCTGGGGGTGATAGGAAGTTCGGTACATATGGCGGATGGGACAACTGAGACTAACGCCCACCCACAATGCACAGGCACGGGTATGAAAGCGTTGAACCAAGTCAGCCACTGAGCGTATCAGCATAAGCGTGGACAGCTGAGTCACTGATTCGTGTCGTGATGCAAACGTTGGTAAACCCTAAAACCCTGTGTATCAGCGTTCCCGTCGGTGGCTGTAACATACGCACCACTCAGGGGTTGGCTGTGCATGTACTTGTCACTCATTGGACAAGATGAATATACAAATAAAACCACGCAGGCATGAGCACCATTTAAGCAATCACCACATGTGTTGTTGTACATGTATAAGTAGGTATATGTATATGCGCGTATGCTTCACCTTGGCTTTGGCGGCTTTCCTGTCCTTCGTTTTCTCGCCCATGGCCTTTGCCTTAGTGGCCTGCATGTCGTCATACACTTCATCGTATGCGAACGCACTGGGATCCACCCCAAGCACGGCATCAAGAGATTGATCCACCTGTTTGCGGTTGTTCTTATTCATCAACTCGGCATTGACCCGTTTCCTCGCCTAGGAATGGAATAAGGTACATCAATGAAATTTACACACCCATGAACGGCTAAAATTGTCCAAGTAAACACAAATGACACACCCTCACATACACATACACACCATATATATATATA